CGAGTTGCCCAAGCTATGACCGCAGATCCCAAGAAGAAAGAAAAGAAGGTGCCCCCAAAAGCACCAAAGAAGATGAAGAAGAGTGAAGAATCGGAGAACGAGCTGGATCCAGAAGAAGAGGTATCCGATTCCGATGAAGACGAGATGGACGATCAGACCCAGGAGATCGTTGAGGAGCCCAAGAGAAAGAATCAACAGAAACAGCCAAACAAAAAGGAAGCAGTTGAAGATGAAGAGCAGTTGGACGACGTTGGAGAAGGCGAAGAGGAAGAGGACATGACAGATGACGAGGAGGTTGTCCCTGTCAAACCAAAGTCCAAAAAGAATGGGGGAAAGGACACGGAGGTGGTCGACAAGACGAATAAAAAGCGGCGGGCTGCAGGTGAAATGGGTAAGGGAGAAGCGCTGCCCAAGAGGCCCAAGCCTGAGCAGAAAGAAGTGAAGGGAAAGAGAAACCAGGACGATGTGAATGCGGGCAAGAGATTGAGCATTGCAGCCCGAGCTTTAGGGTTGCATGAAGAGTTGAACACATCTGGTCCAGGATCAAGGCCGAGTAAAAGGGCAAAAAAAGAGCAGAAGATTTCAAAGGAAGATTCTGAGGATGATGAGAATGAAGGTCAAAAGAAGAAGACGAAGGAGATGCCATTACAAAAAAGGGACAGAACTTCAAACACTTCGGTCCTTCGGTTTGATTTCTTTTCAATTGAAAGTTTCTTTGCACCAAACTATTCCTGTTCCATAAACTCTTTGATCCCTTCGTTGCCCGTCCCCATCCTCCGCACAGGAGCCGAAGAATGCAAAGGGCAAGGCTGAAGCTTCCAAGCCTAAGGCCGGCTTGAGAATCCAACAACCGTTTGCCAGATTTCCCAAGTCACCCAAGGTCATCCACATCTCAATTCACATCCCAAAGTCATCCCAAAAACTGCGATTCTTATCTACTGAGTAACCTTGGCATGCCTCCATGTTCCAGTCGGTTTTGAATGTCATGGTGATGGAATATCGCACCAGGCAAATTCTTTGATGGAAGCATACCAACGCTTTCTGAAGCCTGAGCTCGCTGCCTTGGCGGAGAAGCACCCGGAGAAAACGCCACGGGACCGCTTGAAAATGGCAAGGGAGACGTACGAAGCTCAAAATGTTTTGCCACTGTGAATTGTTGATGATCTTGATTCTGTAGGTCTTTGAAACTTGAGTCACTGTACTAGCTGGAAATGCTTTCCATGTAAAACCCCATTCTGAGCTTCTGCCACACTGCACCTCACTGCAGGTGGCGAACTCACCCGGATCGCGTGAAGAGCATCAATGCAATGACCCCCAGTCAGCTGTCGCGTCGGCGATTGAAGGTCACGGTGTCTAGGCCTGAGGATGAGTGCTAGAGCTTGTTGCCTGAGCTCGTGCTGAAAGTAGTTCAGCTTTTGGGGCAGCCCGGTTCTGATACTGTGCAACCATTGGTTGGTGATGACCGGTGATGATAATAAAAGGTTTGAAACCCGATATCCACTCTCCTACTTGTGGCTTATAGGTAAGAAAATAAATCACTGACAGGTTGAAGTGATTTGCTGAAAGAACCATGGGCTTACTTGATGGGTGTCACTGCATTTGAAAGATTGCAGTGCAGGCGCTCCCAATTTCACAACATTCTTAGGCCTGGGGTGGAACAAGCATCTCAGACAGAATGCTTCGGGGTTGAGCGGCCAAAAAAAAGATTTAACCATGACGCTTGGACAATCTGTGTATATCTGTGTACTTTCATTTGTTACAGCTGGCTCCTAACTACTGCGCAAGGAGACATGGACAAAATAATGCCGTGCATTTGGACAAGCGACCAAGAAGATATTGTAATGGAAGTGCCTGTCAGCATCTTAGCCTTTGCAGTCCGGCAGTTCAATGATACTTGCTACAGTGCTTCTGTTTTTTTGTATTTTTAAGTGCCCCCTTGGTGCAGGAGGCGAAGACCGTGATAGACACTGAGAAATGCAGTTGGCGAAAGCTCTTGAGAGAGTTTGAGGAGGAGGGTCACACTGATATTGGCATCAACGGTCATGCGATCAAAAAGAAGCATGGTATCGCTGGGGAAGGTGGAGGCCCCAGTTTCTTTTGCAGAACATGCTAATGTGCTGCAGTAGTTTTCGGGCAATGACATCCCCATTCATCTAGCTTGGGAGTCTTACTTGGCTTGGGTACAAGAATGCATTGATGCCAGGCGATGATGGCTGGACTATCTCTCCCAAAGCTGCACAGGCCAACAAGCCGAAGTAGTATCCCAGTTGGTTGACCGAGCGTCCCTTTTCCCCAAACACCAGTTTTGAGTGCAGGAGTCAGTGTATCTCATCATGATCCTTACCTAGCCATCTATCTTACCAGGTGACCTTCACCTGGTCAGCTCCATCCTCCATCAATGGGTGCAAATATGCAGCACTCGCTTCGGCCTTCAACACGGCAGAAGCTTAGCTGCGAGGTAGAATTTGCATGACATGAGGGGTTCATGTCAACATCTCCGGCTTGTTGCAAGGAGCTTGAGAACTCTCGCTTCCTAACACGGGTGTGGAGAATCGCGTACCTCAAAGAGGCTACGGACATTTGACTGCAAAAAGGGTGTCCTGTAATCATGGAAGAAACAACTGAAATATGTCCGATTTGCGCCTCTAAGGAGTTCACACCGAGAAGCCTGGATGATATTAGCTTCTTTACACTTTAAATACTTGTCATGTGGTTTCCATGAGATCCCCATGAAGCATGGGCCTACGACCAAGAAACGGTTAAACTTGGTGGCCTGAAAAGTTCTCGCAGGCTTTGAGATTGCACTGGTCCCTTCACAGATTGTTTCTGACCTAAGGAAAGCCACTCTATTTCCCCAAGCGAAAGATGAAGTTGGCTGAGAACCAAGTGGTTCGAGTGCTCTAGCATTGCAGCTCCCCTGACAACATGCTCCAACAGTAACATGTTAACTTCAATCCGGGTTTGCCTCATGTGAAAACACTATCTAGTTCAAAGGTTTTATGACTCACTTATGATTCTTTTTCAAGCTGGAGCTTGAGGGGTTTTGGTTTTGCAATTGGCAAGATCCCTGGCACAAAAGAAAGCCGACACCAGTCATGCTGTGGTAGAGGGGTATGGCCAGGCTGAAATATGACCAACCATCCATTGAATGGGTGTTGGATCAAACGGGCACCCCCCACACTCTACTCAATGAGTGTTTATCTAACTTTATCTATGCTGGGCTACCCCCCACAGTTTGAATGTGAACCGGTCGGCTTGAGCTGCACATGTAGCATTCCGAAGAGAGCGTGGAAAAACAAAAAGAAGCTGAAACAGTGGGTCAGGAGAAGCGGCGCAATGGTTTAACACTCGAATGAACCTTCAAGTGACCCTTTGTTTAAACAGTACGTGATTCTCCCGGATTCTTCCACCTCTTTTGAGGTGCAACCATGATCATCATCAGCAATCAGACTTGCTTGGTCGCCTGGCGTCCCGGATTCGCAGCGGTCGCCTGTTTCACACCGTTGATAGATGAGGACGGGATGGGCTAAGGCTAGCCTCACTTGAATCCAGGTCTGCAAAACGAATCGTCCATCATTTCTTGATGCACTCTCCTCCACCCAATGAAAGCACGGCTGTTTCCAACTTTTCAAGTCGGCAGGCCCAGACTCAAGTAACAGCAAGCCCTTCAGGAGGCCTAGAAGAGTTTGGGATTGCAAACCAATGATTTGAGAGATTTGATTTCATGTCATCCCGAGGCCAAAGGTACCAAGCCTGTGCCTCTCCATCAAAGGCCTGGTGGGACAACTTCCTTTTGGGAAGGCAACTGCATCAAAGAAAGTTTAGTTTTAGAACAACCCGTTGGTGACCCTTAGCCTTATATTATATCAAAGACTTGTCATGGCATTGCAGTCATCAATCACCTTCCGGACAAGCCTCTGCATCAGCCACGCACAGGCATTGGAGCGGTGGCTGAGTGGCTAAGACATAATGTCACTTTCTGAATGCTTTAGAGGACTTTGAGCTCAGGATCCTCTTAATTTACGCTGACATGCATTGCAAGCGAAACGGTTTCAAGATGTTTCAAGCTTCTTGAGCAGATGCCAGCGATCTGGAAAATGATATGGTTGTTTGGCCGCTCAACCCCGAAGCATTCTGTCTGTCTGAGATGCTTGTTCCACCCCAGGCATGTTATCAAGCTCCCAATGGAACCAACCCCACACTATGTGGGACTCGAATAGAATGTTATAGGACCTAAATACAAGGAAATCTACTTATGTGTGGATTGGGCAATGAACAAAGGAACAATGACACATGAAGGAGCTGCTAAACCATTGGAGTCCTTTGTCTTTGCAAGACGTCCTGGAGAGAACAAAACTGTAACTGTGTTCAGTTCATTGTCAGCGGCCTTGGTAACAAATGGGAGTACTTCCTTTTCTACATCTCTTGGAAATGGACCTACCCTGCTGCAGCAAACCCTGCAAAAGGTTCAGTTGACCCCGGTCATTTCCTTCCAAACCCTTCAAGCGCTTCACCCACCCACCCCCTTCACACGCCGCCCCACCCCCAACCGCCTCCCCGTGCGCCCCCAGGGCTGCCGCTGCCAAGCCCAGCAGCCCTCGCCCGGCGCCCAGCTCCAGAACGGTGGCTCCGTGCCAAGAGCGGCTCAGGTCGCGGTTGGCGCACAGGAACGCCACGGTGGCCAGGCAGCTGCCTGAGACCTGGTGCGGATGGGATGGGATAAGTTTGGAGTGTGATGTTCTTATGGTGGAAAAAGAGCTGTATACCGTAATTGAAACAAGAACTTACTGGCCAGCTTCTTTTGGTTTTGACATGTCTTGACTCTTGACTCAAATCTTCTCCTCAAGGACCTGCTGCACATCAATGCTGAGCACTAACTTGGACTCCTGAAAACCACTGGGTCTGTGATGGATTTCGCTGTCCGACTCAGGGTGCCATTCGACCCGGGTCCATGTCAGTTTTTGAGTGTATCTCAAACCCAAATCCAATCCTCTACCATCCGCACCGCTAGATCCGGCCGGCACCTCCCCGCCCAGCACTGGCATGGGCCGCTTGGGGGGCACCAAACCTGAACAACGGGGCAATGAGGTCAGTCGAATCGCTGTGGAGAAAAGAGAGATGACTTGACCCAGTGACATATCTGGATGCAAACGAATTGGTAGACCGTAGTATTAAACTACTCAACTAGATCGTAGATGGGCTTCAACGATGTGAAGCTGTGATGATCTGTGCTTTCATGTAGAGCGCCTAAACGAAACTTGTTTGGATGATGGAGGCCCAAACTGCGGCGGAGCGGCGGCAGGGCATCTGCCGTTGGCCTCCCCCTGAGGCTGCGACATAATGGCGTCGATGGCATGCCTTGAAGCGTCGCGCACAAGCATGCTTCCTGGCTGAAAGAAAAAATACTGAGATGGTTGGCCAAAATAATCCAAATTCATTGGGCCTTGGGGCCACCCATTTCATAGTGGACATGGGGATCCACCACCCAATTTACAGCCTCCCCTTGAACCTTTCATGGCCGGTTTTGAGCTCCTCCTGCCGCAGCTCCAGCACGAAGCTGAAGGTGTCGGATGTGACCTGGCCGTGTCGGAAGTCATGGTGGGTTCTTCTCTATTTATACATATATAATATGACTAATGTACAAATACAATCAAATACACCTAGATCATCTGACCTTTGTACAAATACAACTAGATCAAGTCCATTACCTTGGCCCATCGCCTTCATTTCACCCGTCTCCAAGACCGTTTCTTCCTCTCACCCGTTGAAAAAAGAGGCACCGTGACACTCTTGTCACGTCGAACGCACGGGCTGCTCGCTGGACCCGTCGAACTCATGGCGGGGGTCGTGAACTGGTACAGTGTGGCATAGTGTGGCTGCTGGAACTGCTGGAGCATGTCGTCTGTCTTGAAGATTACACCTGGACATGCCACCTCGAACTCCAAGTGTTTTGTTCCACTCTTGTGTAACTTGTGGGAAGAAAGCAGGAGTTTATTTTTTTTCTCACATGGTGCGTATGCAGATTGCCAACGTTTTGATCCCTTCAAATATCTTTGGGGGTACAAGGCTTTGGGAGTATTCTTCGACAGACCTACCCTGGCAATTTCACGATCTGCGCTGGCACGCAGCGGGCTTGATGATGGCAGAATGGGTCCCAAACATTATCATGTCTAATAAGTTATATGATGCCTACAAATCAAGCTATCTGAGGTATCTATGTCGATTGTCCAAGTCTCTTTCAGTGACAGCTTGAGAGCACCAGTCAGGCACAACGAACAATCATCCAACCAAGCAGTGGACATCCTCCTGAACCATGTCTACTCTTTCCGGGTCTGTGGGCCTGTGGGCATGTTGAGCTGAAATCCGCAAAAGAAACAAGAATTCTTCAGCCGTGGAGCCGCTTTACCCTGTATGCTCATCGAGCATTCTTCATACTTCCCCGACACCATTGCTAGGATTTGCTAGGTGACGGTTATGCATTGAAGTCCACCGATGACTTCAACAAACTTTCAATTCATAGAGCCACGTGGCCCTAAATTGCGAAGCCCTATACCGGCTCAAAAGTACCCCCATCTCCAGCAGGTGACACCGGACAACCAGCTCTCAAGACAGCTCAGCCGAACTCACCAGACAACCTGCCGTCTTTTCCGCAGAATCGATGGGCGTGCTTTGGTGGCCAATGCTTCATTGGCCCAAGCCTTCCGCATAAACTACGTTGGCCAGTGGGTTCCTTGGCGCTATTTAATTGTCAGTACCTGGTAGTACCGGACAGGAAAGTGGCTGGCAAGAAAAGTGAAGCTTGAGAACTACATAAAAATAGCTAGTATTCCGCAGTTGGTTGTCAATGCCAAATTTCTTGTTGGAAGGATTTATGGATGACATGCTGTTCTACCGATCAAAGAAGGGGCGGGAGACCTTTTGCAAGAACCGCTTCTTTATGAACCTTTACAAGTTTTTTTTGGAAAAGGTTGGCTTTTGTGACCTTAAAAAACCTGTACCAAGGGCTCACCGGGAGAACCACATCGATGTCTTAGGCTGTTTAGGTGTGGTGGGCAAAGGCCACACGTGTGGCCCTACGCCCACCTGGCAAAGCAAATTGTCTTCCAAAGTTGCTATGCTGGTATGCCATGTGGGCTCAATGCAAAGTCAGGCATCTGGAATAAAAGAGAACACTCACAATGAAACAATATCAAAATCTCCAAGTCGTTGGGTCTTCCAGAAGAGAAGGAAACACTGCAGTTCTGTCAAAAGTCAAAAAAGAAACTCTTCCTTTCCTGCGCTTGAACTTCTCGCACGTGCGCCATGTCCTTAACCCATTGACCAGCCACAATACTCCCAGCTCTAGGAGTGGTTGATGCAACCAGGTGGCTCAAGAAAATCTCACTGAGTAAGAACAGGGTGAGCCCCCCCTGCTCATAGATAATCGTTCAAAAGAGGAGGTCCAAAAACTTTGAACTCCTTTCCAAAGTAAACACCTGCCGTATTTTTTGGGGGGAGGTCCTGGCTTTTTTGTGTGGACGTTGTGGGGTCTCCTCCTTCACCTGCAAGAGTGGTCTCCACCTCCAGCACAAAGCTCAGCCCATCCAGCTCACAGCTCAGTGCCGGTGCCTTGAAGGACTTCTCCGGACATTCCGGATCGATGTCCTCCCACCAGGGGCTGTCTGTGACGATGCCAGAGCAGCTCGAACCCGAATTGCCTCGAAGAGCAAACGAGCTGCGCTTTCACGTTTGCGCAGGTGGAACGAAATCTCAAACGAGATCAAAGAAACGAGCCGAAATGGCAGGAGTGGCCACAACTTTTACCAGTTCTTCTCACAAACGAGTTCCCGCTTCACAAACGAAACACAGGTTGTCTCAATGCAGAATGCCACAACTAATAGTGGAATCGTTCTCAACATGTTCCTTTCCCTTGTTGCCCTACCAACACAGCTCGCTGCTCGCAGCCCCAGGCACCATACTGCCCAGTGTACTTGCATGGTACCACTGCCAACTCGGGCAAAACCTCTAAGATCTTCTCCAACAACTTCTTCCCCACGAAGATGTTGCCTGAAAGGAAACGCATCTTTCTCCCAAAGAGCTTGGTTGCATTATGTGACGAAAAGAATTTGTGGCAAATGAAGCATCACATCATCCAGTGTCAGTCCAGAGGTCATGGAAAAACAAAACCCCACCTCTCTCTGAGAAGTGCAGCCCATCCGACAGGTATTCTGGCCAACTGCTCTCCTCCTGCAGGTGGTCGATGTGACCAGGTTACATCCGTTCAGGGGAGAACCCCCCAGTGCTCCAACTGCCTTGGTTTTAACTGAGTTAACTAACACCCTGTGGTTGCAATCTTCAAAAGCGAGTGCATGGTTTATCAGAACTAAATCACACAATTCCTCCGAAGTACATGCTTTCTCCAAAACTTGAATCAACTTATCATCTGTTTCATGACAACATATGCACCACTTGAACTACCAATTGAATAAGACTGTGTCTCTGAAGGTACGTTGGAAAACACACTGGTCAATCTGCATGTAACAAGTAGCCCAGTGCAAATTCGATCGAGCCCAGTCTCCTGCATGATCTTCCACAGGTTCAGCGAGGGCAACGACAGCTCTGAGGCCACCGCTTCAGCTGCCGTGGCGTAGAGACCCGAGTTCTCCTCGGACGTGACGAGCGGCACACCAGGCACACGGAAGTCTTTAGATACGGCACCACCAATGGGCGGCTGATGAGAAGTGGATTGAGGCAGCCCTACCTTGTTTTGGGGGGATGTGGAGTTAACGCAGGCACGTAAGTTGTGATTTGCAATAGGGTGTGCAAAATACACAACTTCACTCTTGAACCTTCTACTGGGTTTCAGTGATATTATTCACGATTGTAAACCCCTCCTCTGCTGCTTCGTCGGCAATTGCAAACCCTTTTGGGAAAGGCATCCCACGAGTTTAAATCCAAATAAGTCCGAATGCATTTTCCAGCCAAACTCCGAACGGATCTAGAGGAGTCTGCGTGTAGAAGCACATAGAAGCGTTAAAACTTAAAACTAGTGATGCAATCCTCACTCAACATAATTCAGCATATCATTGACACAGGACAAGGAATATCACTCCCACAATTGTTCATGGCAAGAGTCGGATGTCAAGGTCCAGCACGTGGTCATGAAATGTCAAGGGTTCGCAATCCTCAAATGTTTCATTTGCCCGCTTCTGAGCCAGGTCCGTTGAGTCTTGTCTTCCACCTACTCTCCACCGTCACCACATAAAAAACACACACACACACACACACACCGCGGGTGCACGCAGGCTCATCCCCAAGCCGTCGCTATCCAAGACTCATTGGTCCGCTCCAATCGTCCAGTGGCCTCATCCTTGAAGCGTGCCTCATCGAACCGCCACCCGAACCGGGTGGGCTCAACGAGTCACGCAGGGGTCACCGTGGCATGTTCTGTGGCATGTCTGGCAGAAAGGTGGCAGAATCTCTCGCCCGTGGAAAAAGAACAAGTTGAATAAGATGAACAAGATGTGAAACAACAGGTCATCTGAATTTGTCCACAAGAACATCAAGAACACATCAATAGATACAAAACTATCGTATCGGTTACAGTAATAGTAATTTAATAGTTCAAAATCAACATTCTTGTGTCTCATATTCCGAATATATCGTCCCCTTCATCCCGCGCCTTCTGCCACTCCAGGCGTTGGCTATGGCACACCGGTGGGGGACAAATCATCAGGATCTTCGCAGAGGGCGCGCGTTCGCCTGGGATCGGGCCGAAGCCGGGGAGACGTGGATCTCCATCTTCTCGCCGAAGCAACTGGTCAATGAGATGAAGGTGACATAAAACGCAACAAAACACCCATCGCTGGGCACCTTTTGTGCACCAAAACTAAGAGAAACAGTATGGTTTCTGGACCGTCCAGGAAAAACATGCGATCAATCAAGCATTCCGAAACAATCCCCTGATCTGGCATCTCGCACGTTTGTATTTTTCAGACATGTCATGTCACATGCCTGCCTGCTGACTGTTCACTCGGCCGAGCCACGCGCGATGGCGACGATCTGCCGGAGGTTCGATTTGTATTCCTCGATGGGAACCTGACGGAGGAGCTGAGGGAGCCTCTACTGGGTGGAAACGACATCGGATTTGGAAGGTTGAAGGTGGAAATTGCAGGTCGGCAAGGCATGGAAATTGCAGGCTCTTCACATCCAGGTTCTTGAGTGAAGAAGGGGTTGGGACGTATGTAATCCAACTTGTAATCCATAGACTTTTCTGGCCTCCCTGATGCCAACGGCCAGGCCAAGGAACGAAAGTGCTGAATTAGCAGGGGATCCAAAGAAGAAAACGCTGAGTGGGGACAATTAGTGGCCAAGCGAACATGGTTGATACTACTGTATTATCAGCTCATGCTAAACTGCAAATACATCAACAGCGACTCAATAGATCACCATGTCATCCACATCCACAAATCCTTATCCGTCTTCACTTTCAACCCCATGCCACATCCATGGCATTGGCATCCATGGCTCATCCCTACAGCCAAGACACGTGCTGCTTGGGATTCTCCTCCAACAAGGAGGCATCGTTGGCGCCCAGGAAGATCGTCACCAACCGTGTGGTGTCATCGGGCCCCGCATCTTGCATGATGCCTGATCTGCGAGGATTTCCAACAGGACGGAACGAAAACTGGGATCCCGGGGGGTCTTTTGAAAACAGGCACGCTTCTATCTGAAAAGCATCGAACATGATGTTTGCTATTTGTGTTAAGGCACTGTCAGGATGTGGGTGGCATAGCCCCCCCCACAAACAGAACCACTCTTTTGGAACACCACAGGCGCCTACTCCACAACCACCCGGCAACCGCTCCGCCCTCTCCAGGTTGGTCGGAGAAATTGCTTCCGTCGGCCTCCACCATGTTTCAACATCTCCAAGCACCATCGGGTGTTGTAGCCTCACTTCTGCGGTTGACCGTCCAAACAGAGCGGTGCAAACGGAAGATCCAAGAGTACAAACGCGACAATTCGACTGGATTGAGCGGACTTGGACGTTTTCTTGGACCTGGACTTGGATCCCGTAGCTCAATCTGTTGCAGGTCGCTCTTCGCAACACTTGTGTGAAGTGTGAAGGCCAAAGCCGAGCCAAAAAACAGCTCACCGTTCTACATGATCTTTTTTCGGCTATGGATCCACATTACCGAACCGGAGGTACGGTGAGCAGGGAGACACTGTGATGTAGGCGCCGACCGGGTCGGGCCCAGTCGTACCGAACCTGAGGTGGATCCGTGGATTCAGGAGGGGGGTGTTGAAGAACAAGTGCATCGCTACTAGGAACAGGTGCCTTACTACTAGGAACAAGAAGCTACTAGGAACAAGTGCCACGCTACTAGGAACAGGTGCCTTACTACTAGGAACAAGAAGCTACTAGGAACGGTGCGGGATTGGCGCCCAATGCAGGCAGCGATCGGTCGCCGAGGCGCCGCTATAGCCGCGGTTCAGCACGTCCCCCCGGCGCTGATAGGCGTCCGCCAGCGCGGCGCCCCAGCCATTGGGGGCGAAGGACCTCCGCCATTTTGGTGAGAAAAGGCTGACACCAAAGAGAGAGATCCAACAACTACTACGGCTGTAGTACAACAACAACAACAACAACTACTACTACTACTACGACTACGACTACGACTACGACTACGACTACCACTACGACGACTACGACTACCACTGCGACGACGACGACTACTACGACGACGACGACTACTACTACTACTACAATCAACAACTACAACTACTCCCGCATACTAAATGCATAGCTAAATAACGACACTATCAAATGGCAGTTGTACTTAATAACGGCCTTTCATCTACCAAGAGGGGCTTTGTGGCTGCTAAAAAAGGGTAGACTTCAGTGACCCACAGTACAATGACACATGTAGATTCAGCAAGTTGTCTCAAGTGCTCTACTTTGCATTGAGAAAAAGTACGGTGCGTCACAACAAAATGAAAAAAAAGGCACATGTCATGAAATAGTATAGCTCATGATCTCAATTTGATATATAGATCTGATGCTTCTTACATCTTCCTACCGCCCATACAGCCTCAGGCAGTCAACCACTCAGGAGCTCGGAAAGTTGATTGCCAAGATGCTGCTGCGTGAGGGAGTCCCCAAAAAGCACAATACCTCACCACGACACATGGCCACACCCTCCCCACACCGTCACTGCTCCGAGCACCGCTCGTTGAGCACACCGCTTTGGCATATCAATGCCTGACACTGGGACTCGACACAAACCTTACATGTGTTGCAAAACCCTCCCGCTGCGGTGGGTTTGTAGTCCAAATCGTGGCATACATCCCAAAGACTCCTGAACATGCATCAATAACCCATAATAACCCCAACCAACCACAACCCATTGCTTGGGATTCCGCACTCCCCGTCCCAAAAGAACTAACACTGCACGGAACTACCTGATACTAATTATCCATATATTCAATTCGCTTTCCACATATTATGCACTTCTCCCAAGCCCAATATATTTGATCCCGTCCTCCACCAAACGACCCCATTCTCCACCGCCCCGGTCTTGTCTCGTCTGACCGCCCAGGCGACGCTCCCGGTGGGCGGAGCCCGTTTTCACCTTGGAGCTGGAGCCCCCCATGGCGCCTGCGGAATGTGGGGAGGGCGAGGTCCGGTGGTCGGAAGGCAGACATGGGGGGTCCGGTGGTCGCTCGGAATGAAGGTAAGTCAGATTGGTGGTGGTAGGCCTGGTAGGCGGTGGTTTCTGAGTTTCCACCATTCTTTCATGTGTTGTTTTCCCCTTGCTATGAAGTCCACAAAGGAGGGTAATTACAACAAAATGCAACATGATGCACCTTGCCTTGCAACAGCGGGTTGGCTTTTATGTTGTCCATTGATCTCATAGTCCCCATGGTTCGGGAGGAAAGTTGCTTGGCAGACGACTAGCCAGTCAGGGTTGGAGAGCCCATCTGCTGCATACCCAAACAGCAGTCCACTGCCATGGATGGACACCCCAAACTGAGGAGTCTAAAAACTTGAGAGAGGAGGGGGTGAACGAAAGGTAGCAGGCAATCACAAGTAACCCTGGCAGAAGTCCATGACGGCGTGAACCGGTGCAGGGGGGATTTGATCCAGGGGGCGGGGGGGCCCCCCCCGACGAACAGAATCATCTCTTACAGGACCAAATTGAATGCACAATCCCAACTCCTGATTGTAATACAGTTTTGCTAAAGCAAGGAGAACTCAGGTAGCTCAAGCTACCTTTCATGATTACACGAAGGGCTACAGCTGCACCATCTTGGCTTTCACAATCCCTTGTCATTTCTCCCCACGTCCACTCGAACGTCACCCAAACAACGAGAAATACAACATCAAACTCCTATTATGAGGTTGCTCGGTTGGGTTTGTCATATCGACGGTCGATTGGTTTAGATATGTTTGAATGAAAGCTACCAGTACTCTTACCAGCATTGTCTTGTAGCAAGGACTTGGTTGCTTTCTTCTATTCGGATCCCTTTCTATACCCGGTTGCTTCCTTCGGCCAAAGAACCCTGTTTAGACGAGCTCAAATGCTCAGCTCCAATGTGGATATCATCTTTGTGAGTTTGGAACCGGATGTGAACAGCAAAGCTTCATGCCCAAATCCTTTCAACTGAACATCGCCTGGAAAGTGGATTGGGGAATTGGTGTGCCAAAGATCCTCTTGTGCCAAATAGGCATGGCTCCGCCGTAGCTCCACAGTCAGACTACCCTTTAAAACAGTTTGCATCTCGCTATTTTTGGACATCTTTCAGATCGGCCAAGCCGACCGTCAGACCTAATGGTGGCTCCGTTGAGTCTCCATCCTCCCCGTCTCACTGTCTCTGTCTCGCCGTTTCACCGTCTGAGCCTCGTCACGGCGAGGGGGCGCTGCCCGAGCCGCTGGAGCCAAAGCTTCTGCCAAAGCCCGCGCCGTGCTGGGAGAAACGTCGACAAACCCGGTGACTGGCGAGCAAGGTGAAAAACGTCTGAAAACATGGAAGAATGATGAAAGAATGTTGGGTTCTTTGTTCTTGATTTCCTTGGACTTGGAACGTCTGAATGCTTGTCTTGGCCCAAATGATTAATAAGCTGCTCCTGAAAAGGCAAAGCAGTTTCGGGGTCAACTGACAATCCAACAACACCATATGGAGCCATATGGGTGTAGCAAGGAATACACCCGTATACCCACATGGAACCTGAAAACCGCTGGGTTCTAGAGGAAAATTCTCTTCCAGTCTCCGGTCTGTTCCCGGGTGCACCTGGTGGTACCACCAACGTCGGAGCGTTCGTCTCCAAAGGTCGGAGAAGGTCTGTGAATGGTACGCTGAATGGTAGGCGTAGAATCGCTGAGCTTTTTGGGAGTTGCATAGTTGAAGAACAAATGGTTGAAAGGATCGCGACGCTTAAAGCGCTTAAAGGCTGCATCACGCACTGCGTGATAGAATGATGCAGGCTCATTCCCTGGCAGCCCAAAGCAGCGAACTCTTGCATTCTAACTGCACCCCATATACCACATCACCAACAAAATGATTCGGACACCATCCTCATCTACTTGACATCTTCTCCTCACCTTTACCGTGGCCTTTACCTTCACCCCACCCTGCCAGGCCGCGGCCGCCCAGCCGGACCCGCCCATTTTTTTCGGTTCAAGGCCCATGGCGGGGGCCTTTGGCCTCCCAAAACAAGGACAGGTGTGGCGCCGACTCACACGACCATGGTGGAGCCTTCCTGGCAGATTGCTGCACGACTGCGACTGAAAAAACGGCCTTCCCCGTGAGGGTTCAGCTCGTTTGGAAGCGATGACCAAACTGGGAGGAATTTCAGAGATGCTCTGGTTGAAGGAAACATCCACACCAATCACCGCACAAGGAGCAAAGGAACTTGATCGAGAAGAAGCAAGGTGGAGAGAACCGTTCTCGTGTGAATGCCCTCGTAAACCGCGTACGCGCTGCTACTTCGAGGCATGTGTAGAAAGCAAATATATTATGAAAAACTGACAAGCCTATATGTAAGACAGTAGAAGGTTTTTGGATGTCAAGCCTATAGCACAAGATCCTTTCCTTCAGAACAAACCTCTTGGAGCCTCTACCTGGCCCATCCAGAATCATATACCACCCGACCTCAAGCAGCCCCCCAGCAAAGATCTGAAGCGTCCTGGTGGTGAACAATGGTGTGAGGCCCCGCTGCATGCGCTTCGGCTGCTGCGTGGTGTGCAGACTTGTGCGGGCGTAAGGTACTCCTGGGCGTTGGTTGGCTGAAGTATTACAAGAACAAATCTGCGCAAATGGTCAGAAAATAAACATGCATTATATACTGAAGAAATACGGACTCGATTTGCATCATATTGGATGCGCTGAACGTTCCACAATATAAACCTCACAGAACTCCTTAAAGCCCCACCGAAGCGGTGAAAACTTGTGCCAAGTCTCTTTGGTGAACCCTTTCCCTTCGCCATCGCGCCATGCACGCCGAACTGGCCGTGGCCTCCCTTGCCGTGCGCCGCATGCGCGCCATGAGGCGCGGCTTGCAGGGCTTGGGCTGGATGTGCTTTGGGAGCATGCTTCCTCGGCAGATCCAAAGAACTGGACAAATCACCAACAAAAAAGAAACATGGGAGTACTGAGCTCCTTCTTGGGCTCGACGGATATGACTCGCATGGAACAAGACGGACCAATGACAATGAAGAACACACGATATCACACGATTGGAGGACTCCCAATCCACAATCCGACTGGACCATACCGGATGTTCAGGGAGGTCCATCAAAAGTAGTTTGTTTTGAGGTAGGGGGCCTATTGGTGACCACTTGGACGATCCTGATGAGATGCTTTCAGTGTGACAAGAAAAGACCTGCCAACTGACCTGCCAGGCTTCAGATAGCCATGCTGACCTCAGTGTTGTGAGTCTGGATAACAATGAGAGTAGGGCAATCAGGTGGGAGCATCATCTGAGGATTTTTCTGGTAGCCACCACAAGAAAGCTATGAGTCAAAAGGATACCATGTGGCTGTCTATGACTGTCCGTTGTCCTTTGTTGCTTCATATCTGTTCATTCTCTTCTCTATCAGGTCCGTCCCTCCCTAGCGGATTCCGCCAAGGCGACGCAGGAAATCCGCCATGGGCACCAAACCGGCGCGCGTTCGCACGCAAAGCTGCCCGGCCGACGACAGCTCACAGAAGATGGTGAGGTGATTCGCCACCAAATGGCTGCTACTGCTGAGCCGCACGATGGGTGGAACCATCTCCTAGGGATCTGAAGGAGAAAAAGAATCCGAATTCGTGAGTGAAACGAATCGACATGCGGATCGGGAGAGATCCCAGAAGAAACCGAGGGCATTTCTTGAGTGTTGCTTTCGACGTGCGTGTAGCGCGCGGAGGTGCTCACGTCAGTGCTTTTGGTGAATTTGATTCATTGGATTGAGCACATTGGAAAACTTTGGGGGCTTGAGTTCCCACTCACGCCGGTGCATTTTCGGACATGTTCATCGGATGAATCCAGATCCAGAGTCCGCCTTTTTAATCGAAACAGCCACAACTGCGAGCAGAAAGTGATTCTCCAAGAGTTTTCTTATCACTCCCAGCAATACTGGGCGGGGTATCTTAGTCTCAGGGGCAGTCAAACCAACGAGAAAATATGCAGTATGCGGAAAAGCAATGTGGAAAGAAGGAAAGTAAGGAATCCCATATATAAAGAATTCTGACAACCCTTATAAACTCCTTCACAAGTTCTTCTCCTGCAAATCTGGTTGCAACAAACAATCACATTCAGAGTCGACCACCAACCGAGTTTTTCAGAATCCGAGCTCTAAAATCCAAACTCAGCCCCGTGTGCCAATAAATAACCCATTCGCCCTGTCTTCCACTCTGTGCACTCCGTTATCGCCTTGAATAGCATCACCTCCTTCCCCTGATTCCCTCTGATCTTCTCCTCTTCCAAATCAACGCCCTGACCAACGCCCTGAATCCACTCACACCGCCCACGTCGCATCACTGGCCACGTGCATCCGGCCACGTGCAGACCACTTCTGACTGCAGTTTCCCTTTTGACACATGGGCTAACCTTGTTCCATCTGTTCACCAACCTATTTGACCTATTTGACCTCTGACAGGAAAAGACCCTATTTGGGGGCGTCACTCAGACCATATTGGCCAAAACTTAAGAGATCCACGTCGACTGGACGTGGATTTCGCCAACCAACGACTCCCACGCCGGTTTCCGCGGAAAGGGCGGCGGCGAAACAACGCGCTCAAACGCCGAGCTGCTCCGCGCTGACGCATCTCCAGCAGAAACTTCTTCAGTGCCGACTCCACGTCGCCCAAGTCGATTGGTCCATGTTCCTTCATCACCTGGAGAAGACGTGGAAACGGCCAACTGGACCGGGCCGGTGGACGTGGGACGGAGCGCTTTTCTCTGTTCATCCTTTTTTCTCCTGGTGTTTTTTTCGGTTTAGTTGTTAAAACGACATATATTAGAGGGAGATCACATGATATCACCATATCCACGGCTTGCACCCAGAGTTTGTGGCAAAACATGTGCTGCTGTGAATTCTACAGTGGTTTGCAAACCTGGCCATTTGTTTAATGGCATGACTCTCACTCACATCATTACACATCGACAACTGGAATCACTCTGGATTTTGCAGTGGTTTGCACGCTTATAGTTAAATGGTATATATAAAAACGTGTCATTAATCTATGTTTGCCAACCTGGAACTGCTATGTCACCAGTTTCAACAGGTCACCACTCTCCAAACGCCGTCCAGACCCTGCACGTCCGTTGCCGGTCACTCACGGCCGGCCTTGGCGGTCTCTCGAACGCAGGCGGTCAAGGCTTTGAGCGCCTCCTGGGACTTCTTCGCCTCCTCCTGCCGGCGAGAGATGCTGGAGAAACCAGAGATCCCACTAAGGGACCGAGAGGGTTTTCCTTGAGTTGTTCATCTGGAGATGGTTTTCGTCTGAACGAAGAGGTGGTTAAGAAACGGCCGAAGGATCTCTGTTTGAGGCCGTCACCTTGTTATCTGACACGGTCTGACCCTGCCTGAATTCAGGGATTGTTGGGAAAACTCACATCGAGATTCACTGTCTAGGATGCCAAAGACTGGATGAAATCGAAACAGGGCGCGCAGGGCAGTAATGACCTGTCCACTTGTGCTCATGCGACAGTTGCAACTGGACAGCAAAGCTTTTTGCACAGAAGCATACATCGAGGAGCTTGCATAATTGATCGAGTTCAAACACATTGCCAAGCATCGCCTGAAAAAGAATAACAAAAAAAGAACAATGGATTGGGGAAACCTGAGACCAGCAACAAACTTGCACTCTGCAAGGAAGGAAGGTTTTTGGCGTTTGCTTGTCGTTGATGTCAAAGAATACAAATCGGACTTGACCACTTTGGCAAACAACATCCCGAACACCCAATGATTGCCCAATGTCCCATGTTCCAGCTGCTGTGGGACTACCGATTGACTTTGTTTCGGATTCGAACAGAATTGCAACCCCAGTCACCCCTCAGCCCCGTGTCCTCAAACTCGTGATAGCTCCTTGGCTCCCAAAAAGGCTTAAGCTGAAGCTGAGGGATCTCATCAAAGCTGAGACACACACAAAGCTGAGATGGTCCAACAAGGAACCAGTATACAGAAGGACAGTGGAACCAGGAGCTCCTCGTGGTGGAACTCAAGTCTGAACATGTTTTACGACAGTCGAAGCTATTACTACAAAATGCATGGTCTGGATCAACATGGATCAACTAGCTTGAAAACAGGGGCGACATCTCCACCTTGTCATTCCCAACCTTGGTCAAAGAATAGGCCTTTCTTGTACTATCGTATGTAACTATAATGTTTAAATTGTCAGATCGGCTCGAATGATCCTTCACCTACAAAACCCATAGACAACCGATGCCAACCACCTTCACAACATATTCAGACCTTGTCATCTTGTCAGACCTAGCTCTACTAGCTCAGCAGGTTCAGAAATACGTCATGCTACCGTACCTACCCTACTTACCCTGCCCTACTCCATCCTGCCTTGACTCACACCATACTCACATACTCCCCATCCTCACACCTGACACATGGATCCGAATGCCAAACACTTCAGTGTGATAAAACCCATATAAAACCCATATAACACCCCTCCATACGTTGAACCGTTGTGTTTTCCTCCTTCCCCAGTTTCCTCCTTCACCAAGCATCTTCGCTTCGTGCGCCAGCGCACCTTGTCGTCCCATCTCCTCTTGAAGCTTCGCCTCGTCTCCGACCGAGGCCGTCGGGACTCGCTTCGACACGTGTTGGCCGTGCCGCGCCGGGGTGGGTTGTGCGGGTCTTGTGCGCTGTGCGGATCGAAGTTGACTCATGTCACATGAAAAAACATCGTTCGCTACTTAGAAGAAGACTATACATTGTTTTCACATATTCCTGGTAGAGACTTAGAGAAATCTTCACCCGGATCATGGGACTAAAAGTATTTTTGTTGTGACTCTCGATGCTTGGGGGCCTCAGACCACTTGTTGTATGATCCTTCTATCACTTCCACGCCTGCAGCGCTCGCTGTTCTTCCATGTTGCCTCAGGACGGCGAACGGCTACTCTAGCGGATCCGACTCCTGATGTGGAGGCAACTCAGAAGGGATTTGAGCCGCCCTGTATTTGGCATGTTGGACAATGAGAAAAAAGCACAGGCGCCTACAATGCTCAAAGACTGCCAACGTCCACCTGAATCTGGACCTGGGCACAAAGAGTTCGGCTCCTCAAAACCTTCTCAAACACCTACCCCAAATGCCCAAATGGTTTGCATCCGACGAACTCGCACCCCGATTCACGCTTCGCGAATCGCGCATCGCGAACTCGCTCGTGACGACTCTCCGTCTCGCACGCCGAGCGTCCCTTCTTCAGCTCCTCCGCCGTGTGTTGCCCCATGCGCGCCGCGGCCACGCACAAGCGCTCCTCCACGACCAAGGCCTTCGGTGACGAAGACGGACGGACTGGGAGGGTGACGAGGAGCTCGGGCGATGAGCCGAGTCAGAATGCCAAAAGCATCAGAATCAGGAGGTGATAAAAGGTAACAAGAAATCAGGAGCATGAAATTGAGAATCTGTCCAAAAGCCTTCAAGATTGTTGGTGTTTGAACTTGTTTTTCACCAACTAACGAGTCTGGACTTCGAGGTCCATTACCTCTGAACTGACAAAGAACTGCCAGTACGCTTGTTGGAATCTCCTGGAGCATTTGAGGGCTCATAGAACCCGCGATGATTCATTTAAGCATCGCCATGGAGTTCTTGCCTAACCTTCGGATCCAGGATGTTTGCGCACGGCACAACGCACCATGATCGATCTCACCTTGAGATGCTCCTTCCGGCGTGCGATCTCCTCCTCGTGATATTTGCCTCGTGGATCGTCGATCGGGGGCTTCATCCGATCGTCGATCTGGAACGATGACCAGTCCACACGAGGAGACCTGGCTTTGACCTGCTGTCGGCCTTCTTTTCCTCGCTTCGCGGCCAAATGGTGGACGACGGATCAGGATCCAAGTGAAAGGGTTACGTGTGGATTGCATGAGTTGGTGGACATGTCCCATGGCTTCCCGTGATCTCCGTTTCGGGGGGAAGTCGTTGCTCGCATCTTCGGGTGCTGCCAGCTCACAAGCTAGCTATTTGGATAGCTTTTCGGGTGCTGCCTGCTCATGCCCTGGTCGACTTCCTCATCCCAAAGCACCACCCTCCGGGCCCTCGGCCGGTCACGAGTGACCCAGAGCGGGCGCTCACGTCGGTCCGAGTGGCGTTTCTCCTCCATGCGCAGCACATAGCTTTGCAGAGTACCCATCTCTTCATGGAAGACCTGCAGGGTTTGGAGCTGCAAGACCACGTGCACGTCTTCCCAAGAAAAGAAGGAATTTCAGGTGGGTCAGGGGCATCTTATGACATGCCCATGTTGCCCAGGGAGGGGTGGTGTAAGAGACCCATGATGTACTGGACAAACGTCGTTTGTTGATCTGACATTCCGCTATCACGGTGCTTTTCTGTGTCGAACACTACGGTGGCTGCTCTCTTCTCAGGTTGGACATCCACACGCTGCCAGCAGCTCGGTGCCACCCTCTGCCTCGATCTGCCGTTGATTCTCGCGGCGTTGCCGCACCATGGCGGCATCATGCTGCTCCTGCTCCACTTGTGCTTCCACCTGGCCGGGCCGTGGGACGTGCAGCGTGGTACGTGGTACGTGCATCGTGGTACGTGGTACGTGCATCAGCTCCATGTGCTTCGTCTTAGAACCACTTTTTGAGGCACTACTAGGTGGATGGGCAAGCTCATGGAACGTGGTATGACAAGGAGACTGACTTGAGAACGCGGAGGTGCTGGCTAGTTCACAGGGCTCGGCCGACAAGGCAGAAGCAAACATGAAACATGTTTGCCAAGATGTTTCGAAGCTGCTGGGGTTCATCCACCATTGGCTCGCCGTCTGCTATCCCCGGGCCAAAATCACACCAACTCCGATGTCCCCAAAACATCAAAAACAGCTCCAAAATGCTCAGAGTGCACAGCTCGAGCAAGTCTCTTCCGGACAACACTCTGCCAATGACCAGGTGAGGATGCGGAAATTCAGTTCGATTGGGTCTAAGTGGCCCATGGGCCTGATGGCGCCAATGGTCCATGGACATGTGCCGCTGTAACTTCCGGGAGTTCTCCTGCAGCTTGGCCACTTCCTCGTCCTGCTCCTGCGGAGGAAAGCAAATGATTTGTATTGAGTTGTAGATTTGTTGTTCATCCATCCACCCATTCCAGCATTCCAAGATTCCAAGCATTTCCAAGCTGACCCGAGGCTTAAGTCCAACAGCCCTTGTGTCTTCCCGATGCCCCGATGGCAGTGTACCGACGATGCCTTGTGTTGCTCCAAGAGCGCTTGATGCTCCCGCTCCTGAGCCCACGGCTGGTGGGGCCAACGATGGCGCGTGCGGCTACGTTCGATGAATCCGTTGGGAGACTGGGAAGCAAAGAAAGTCATATACATGGCACTGGCAACATAGAATGGATTGGTGAAAATGGAGTTAGAATCTGAATAAATCTGTGTCACGATCAGATCGAAGCTATTCCTGTTTAACAACTCCATGTGCTTGTGACCCTAGACCCCTGTACCTGTGGTTTTGTGTATGTTCTCCTCACACGGTGGTCATTGTGGTCCCTCCCACATCCTCCACACCTGCCGGACCTGGGAAGCATCGCTCTGTTCTGCTCTTGGGGTGAACTCCTCTCAGCGAATCGTGTATAGATGGCAATTCTATACCAGCACCGACGGCCAACAGGTCACCAATTGAAACCTGTTAGGGATTGTTAGGGCCTTTCCCAACCCTCCAGCCATCGGAGACCTGTTGGGTTCGGTGCTAAGATACAAGTTGCTTATTCGATGTTTCTGTCGAAGGTTGTTCTACTCCAACGATCGAATTTCGCTGTCCCGCCTTGGCCTTCACGGCACTGGTGCCGTGGGCGACCTGCTCGTGGAGGATCTTCAAGTCCTCGTCCTTTTCGAACAACTCCTTCTGCACCTCAGGCCACGCGGACTATAGCGGACTCAAACAGGCAAATGATATAGGAAGCTGTTCCGGAAACCGAGATCCCAATTTCAACTGCTGGATTGCATCCCCTTCAATGTATCGTCTCAGAATACTCGGCAATCTGATCCATGAAACGAATATGTATTATTGGGGTGGTTTGAGGGATCAATTGATCGGCATATATGACAAACATGGAGTATCTAGGTCAATCATCTCAACATACCAAACCTGAGACTGGACACTCTGAAGAGTGGTGCCTCTTCGCCAGCCGCCTCACCAGTGAGGTCTAAAGACTCCGGTCGAGACTGAACTTCGAGAAGAAAAACAGATCTTTTCCAATACAGCGAGACGTTTTCCAATACTGCTCGTCCCAGGTGCTCTGGAGAGGCGTTCCTTCAAGGAAGAGACCTTTACAGGCAGCGCTTTCGATCGCGGTTTCGATCCAAATAAGCCAGCTGTCGAGATGATATCCAACGACCAAAAGAGTTCCAAAGCACATCGACCTAACGGGAAAGTCGAGTTCCAAATCGCAGGAAGTGGACCATCGCTTGACCAGATTCTCTTCCTTGCACCGCCCAGAAGACTGGATCCCATTTCCCACAAACCGGCGGCGGTTGTCCCACCAGGTCTTTCGCCCAAATTGGATATATAACTGCTAGTAGTAGCTTCTTGCTACTAGTAAGGCCAGGAGCTACTAGTAGCGATGCCTTTGTTACTGGTAGCTATTTGCTACTAGTAGCAATGCCAGGAGCTACTAGTATAGCTATAGGCTATAGTAACCTATACCGCGAACGAGCCCCAAGACTTCAAATGGAACATGATAGAACCACGATGAACCACGGTGGCGCCCACCTGGGTGTCAATGTGCTTGGCCTCTGCTTCCAAAAGTGCTTGATGCTTCTCCTCGGGCTGTTTGTGCTCCCAGTCGACAACGTCCACACACAGTTAACAGCCAGCCAACCAACTGAATCGAATGCTTAATCCTTGAGTCAACCATCTCTCCACTTGTTAACCAATCCACTTGTTAATCCTTGAGTTAACAGTCAGCCAATCCACTTGTTCCAACCATCCATCATCATCCATCATCCATCTCTCCATCACTAGACACTGTGATGGAGGCGCCGACCGGGTCGGGCCCAGTCGTGTCGAACCTGAGGATGTGGATCCAGTGGATCCTTAGGGAATCAGCACTCCATCATCACAACCAACCTCACATCCAGGGTCCATCCATCATCTGACCCCTCCAACCACCTCAATGTAGGTATACCATACATGGTAAGTACACCATACATGGAGTGTTTGAGTTAGGGACTCATCTCTCTCTCTCTCTCTCTCCCTCGAGACTCACCTTCTTCCGCCGGGAGACCGTGGTCGCGCCCACCTTGGCACTGATGGCGCCCGCCTCACCGCTCTTGGCCGCCAGCTTCGCCTCGGTGTCCTCACCACGGTGTCAAGGCTGCCGGCCCCCTGACCAGTCACCGTCACCTACAAAAACATAGTGGGTGCCCCCCCAATACTTCTCCTGACCACTTTTCTTATTTGTCTTTTTCTGTGTGGCTCAGTGTGCTCATATAATATCTATAATAATACAAATATATATATTAATTAGTATAGTTCTCCTGACCGCTGACCAAGTTTCTTCATTCTATCTTCCACTGCGGCCACTCAAAATGGGTTGCGCACGTGTCACAAAAAGACGGCCCACCCTGCTCGGCCACGCCCCATGTCGAAATCACGGGTTCGCACCGGGCCTTGATCTGGTCTTCCAGGTGAAACATCTCCTGGTTCCTGGCCTCCAGCTCCTGTCAAGACAACAACACTGGACTTAGGGACATGCTACAAATGTCGCACCGTCGGGTGCACAAAGAACATCAAAACAATACAAGAAGAAAAGTTCCCTACCCTACGAGTCCAGTCTGACCCAGTAAAACCTGGATAAACCTGGTCTTTGACCTTCAACAATAGTGTCTTTGCATGACCAACTCCAGAAATATGAGATCGACAAACCTCGGCGAAAAACCTCTCTCTCGCTCCGCCCTCTCCAAAGCCCGAAGACTTGGATGTCCAAAAGCAGCAAAACATCGTCCCCTTTGAGTAACAGGACCTATATAGATCCCAAATCTGCATCTTTCATGCAAATCCACTTCTTAAGCTCAAGTAACCAGACCTCTCACCACAGGTGGCCCGATCCCATCCCCACCCATCAAGGCCTCCTAGGCCTCCTTCCCTCGCACCAACGAGACCTCCTCACCATCGCACCCGCAGATCGCGCCGCAGACCGCGCCTTGCGCAAGACTCGGAGCTCGGCTTCCCGTGCGGCCATCTCTCGCGGCAAGGCGTCCTCCGTGAGCTCCGGCCACTCCTGACACGACGGAGAGAGGGAGCGTCGGAGAGGGAGCGACGGAGATGATCAGTTGGAGGTGGATCGCAGGTGGGAGCGCATATGGTGTGTTGTCGGGCCTGATTGAATGTTCGGTTTCGATGGTATATTTTACATACTATAAACCATGTCATGCTGCGTGCTATTGGTTTCACCTTTTCTTTGTTACTTTCTGTTGGATGCCGCCTGCTTTCTCCTGTTCTCACTTGTCCGCTATAGTCTTGGGTTTAGCCCAGTGGCTGAGATCACATTTGGTTGCCAACCGGCACCCACGGTGGCACAAACTCAGTGGAGGAAGAACGCTGCCCCTGCAAAGTCAGCGTTCTCTGCCCCGCTTCCTCTCAAGCAGGTCAGCAGCTCCTCACATACGTTTGGTGGTGAATGTTTGGGAGTTCCGGGGAATCAGATCGGCAGTTACGGCAGTGACCTGCCAAACTGCCAGACGTCCACAATGCCACTTCCCACCCCAAAAGCCTTGCACCCTTTGAGCAATAGATGTGTCCACCCACTTCGTCAAAGGAGAGCCGCTATTGTCTGACCCTCGAGCCGTTTTGATTCCTGGAGCCTACAGGTGTCACAGGTGGACAGTTCCTACAGGTGAGCAGGTTGAACTGTCCACCTTTTGGGCTAAGACCAAAGGTACTTCAGGATTGATAAACGTGACCTTTTCAATCAAGGCTTGGTACTGTGACCTCAGCCACTGGGATCTCAAGTTGGGTCACTGGGAAGGTTCATTGTAACTCGCAGGTGATCCACTTTTCCTTGGCGGCTTGTGTGTGTGTGTGCCTCAAACCCAGAGGAAAACAACAGGTCTTGTATTGTACAGTGTCTTTCGCGGATCACGGTTGGTCCAAAGGTTTTTCACGGCGCTTCTCCTGATGATGCACCTCCTCTGCCTTGACCATGGCATCTTCCTTGGCTCCGGAAGCCCCCCATCTCTTGTTGGTGCAGTTTTGGGTCACAGTTTCGCATGTCCCAATGTTCATCCCATCGTCCAGTCTGCAGGAAGAGTCTGCCAGCTATCTCCAGCCCTAAACTACTGTGATGTCTGTCAATGTGGAGTCGCCATGCTGAATCAGCTGTAGTAGACGTAGTCTCATGCTGAAATTTGGCTTTATGTCCAAGCAGCCATGGTTCCCTGCAAGCTCTTTTAAGAGAAGCTTATCAGTGCACTTACTCTACCCCCTTCTGTCCACAGTGCCAGCTCGCATGGTTTTGATATGTTTTGATTAGAGCCCTGCTGACTTTGCTCAAAACAATGTAATTCGTCCCTTTCCCCCTTCCACACCACCACCCCAAACCAGAAACCTCTAAACTTCTCTCTTGACCCCCCCAAGCCGCCTCAATCCACCCCACATCTCATCCTGCATCCCAAGTCTCGATCTGCTTTCCCAACGCCTTCGCCACCCCGCCCTGCGCATGCTCCTCACGCCGCACCGCGTGCGCCGCGTGCGCGGCCTCCGCCGCCTGCGGCGACAGGTGGCCGCGGTCGCCGTGCGGCGATGGCGAGGAGCGGCCGCGCGGCGCGCCGTGGCGCGTCCTGGGCCGCAGAGAGGGTGTGGAAGATCTCGCCAGTCTGTGCACGTTTAGCCATGCATCTTGCGGCACCCGTGGCCGAAATCGGGGGTGAAGCTTTTCACTTCCAAAAACTATCCGTGAAGCCGACGGAATGTTTCAGGTGGCGGTTCTATCAACTGCAATCGATCTTTGATGAACAGCGGAAACGCAGTGCCTATGGCGCACGGCAAGGAAAGCCTTTTCCAAGGCAGACTCAAGTGGCCACTAAGTTTGGGCCGGTACGGTCATGGAAAGTCAACAGGTGTGGATGGCCAGGGCACAAGGCAGTTTGTTTCACATCCTTTAGGGGGGATATCATGGCCATCCTCACCCTTCACTGGCAGCACGACAAAGTGCAAAAGCCGCTTCGCTCATGGTCTTGCGAAGCAAGGTGCTGTTGCCCAATCTCTTTGTGAGAGGGTCTGCAATCATCAGATTGCCTGGCACCCAAAAGGTGGTGACACCTAAGGCCCGAGCGCTCACATGTATCACCGCCACGTCGATTTGCGCCCTTCTGTCATGTCCGGCGTTCCCGGATCTCCTGCTCAACAAGTCGTAGAGGGCCTTGGCGTCCGTGACATGGATGCCACTCTGCTTGTCGCAGATTCGGATGCTCTTGACATCCTCAGCCTCTTCCTCAGGGAGCCGCACCACCATCGCCGACGGCTCCGAACCAAGCCTGGTGCCGTCCATGACACATGTGGCTGGGTCCAACACTTCATGCCATAAAGCTCTCACCCATTCCACCTCCGCCAAAGCATCGTCCATGGCCAAAGCCTCACTGCCGAGCGTGGCCTTGATGACCCTCTTCAGCCGGTGTGACTTCCAGCTGTTTATGCTGAAGCTTGCCTTCTGCCCGTCCAGGATGGAGCCATGGGCAAATGCCACGATGAAGCCTCCCTGCGACTTATTCTCCACATTGGCCATTGAAGCATCGGCCACCGTCATCCAAATGCCGTTGTTGGCCTCGATGGGGAGGATGCGCAGGACCTCGTCAGGCGTCTGCTTCAGTTCATTGACGGTCTTGTTCGCCATGAGGATGTGCTCAACCGTCGGGCCATCAGAACTCCAGCTCATGGCCATAGCGCATGCTGCACCAACATCTGGCCTCGCCTCCTTCCCGATCCAAAGCAAAGATCCTCCAACTCCACGGAGCCATGTGATCTCCTGCTCCGTCAACTTTGAGCTTTTGTCGCGAAGCCGCTCTCGAGGAAGGGTCACTGGCTTCAGCTTCTCTTCAATGTACCGCTTCATGCTCACTTGGACTTCATAGTTCTCGAGCTGTGTGAGCGTGCGGCCAATGTACTCAGCTGAGCTCTTGTAGACGTTGCGCCACTTCCCGAACTTGAGCTTGGAGCGCAACTGGTTCATCAGCTCTTGATGCCTCTGGTTGCCGCCTTGGCAGAAATCATCAACATCCAAAAGCACAACTCCTGCCACCTGGAGTGGTGGTCCATTTCTGAGCTCCTCCTCTGTGGGTGGCAGGTAGTAAAGGCAAGGGTCGAAGACACTTTCCTTGTAGTTGAGCTCGGTCAGGTGCCTGCGAACCGTCTTTCGCCAAACTGCAGGGGCGTTCACCAAACCATACACGGCCGTGAGCACTCTGATCAAGTCTGTGCTCTTGTGCTGTGGAATGCCTGTTGGTGGCATGGATGCATAGAGTGGACCTTCAGCACGTTCATGTGGGTCACTCTGGCCAAAGGCGCTGGAGACATCCATGATGTACAGCTCATAGTTCATGCTGCTGATGACTTGGAGGCAAAGCATGACAGTGGTGGAAGATGGAGTAGGTGCAAATCTCTCCTGGGTCATGGCGTCTGGGTCCTTGTGTCCAAGGAGAATCCATCTGGCCTTAGCCTTCCAGTCCTCGCCCAGTTCACCAGCCTTCTTTGTGATGATGAAGCGGCTGGGCATGATGCGGTGTGGCAGCTCTCGTCGAATGCGAGAGAGCTCATCAGGGTCAGTGATGACCTGGATGGCATTGGAGTTGACCAGGTTGGTGATCTCAAGGACCTTGGCTTTGTCAAACATGGCCTTTTCCTGGGCTGTGAGTTTCTTCTCATCAAGTTCTTTGCCACTTTGTTTGGTGAGGTACGCCAACGAGGACTCTGGCTCTTTGAGGGCATAGTGCATGTCCTTGTGTTCCAACTTGCAGAAGAGCTTGATGTCGCGGTTGTTGGCAATCACTGGAAATCTTCTCTTATCACCCCACTCAGTGACATCATCAGCCCGCCAGATGCCAAAGGTCTTGCTCCTGTTGGCAGTTCGTCCATCTGAAGGTGTAGGGCGTGAGCTCCAGGCCAGTCTGACGTCGGTGAGTCGGGCATCTTCTTGTGGCTCTTGGACTCGTGCTTTCTTGGCTGGCTGTTCAGCCGGTTGAGGAAGAAGTGCTTCATAAGGCTTGCCTGGATCCGGATTTCCAGGTCGTGGCCGGTAGATGAGAGTGGTCTCAATGTTCTTGACTCCAGTGGGGAGCTTCTCATGGAGCTTGTGGACAGAGAGGTTCTCTGTGATTGTCAGATCCTGGATGATCTTGTTGGCGTCCAAGTCCAGCGTGAGTCGGCGGACCACGTCACTCCACAAAGGACCGCGTGAGTTGGAGCCACGGTATCGCTTGGCCTCAAAGTCGTAGCGGGTCCAGGCTTTCAACTGCTCATGTGTGGGAGGTGCAGTTGGTCCAGTGGACGCTGAGCTCCGGGAGAGTTGATTCTCCACTGTTGCCTTCCACAACTCATCGCCTTCTCTCATGCCCTGCGGCACAACTGCTGCTGCTGGTGCTGCTGCGGCAGGTGTTGCTTGTTGTGTGCTTGACTCTTGTGATGCATGAGGTGGCTCTTGTGCTGGATGAGGTTCATCATCGGCCGAGATGGTCACAGTCTTTGGTGGTGGCTGTGGTCTCGGTGCTGGCGATCGGGATCTTGCCAATGTTGCTGTGGATCCCTTCGCTGGTGTGGTATCTGGTGTTTGCGCACGAGCTGGTGGTGGCGTCTTTGGAGCCTCTCGCATGATGGCCGGAGTGGATGGAGCACTCCTTGTCTGTGAGGATTGAACTTGCTTCAATCCTTCAGGGGGTCCTTGCAAGACCGGTGTTTGTGGTGCTCGTGGTGTAGCTGGTGCCCTTGGTGTTCCTGGTGCCTTCCGCTGAATGTTTCCAGCGGTTGGAGCCGGTTGTTCATCTCGGAATGCTGTGTCTGGTGGGTCGCCCTCTTGCTCCACATCGATGAATCCCAGCTTCTCAGGGTGGAAGCGAAGACGTTCTTTGGCTCTCAGCAACTCGGCTGGAATAACCTCCAGTCCTTGAGCTTCCAAATTGCCCATCTTGAACACCTGGGTCTTGTTGCATCGCCATAGTTCTCCACGACGAGTCACCCACACAGTGCTTCCTTTCTGAAGGACAACGAAGCACGGCCCCACTTTGGCTTGAGCTCCACGCTTCCCTTGTCTCCAAACGTAGACAGGGTCGCCCTCCTCGAACTCATGTTCTTCTCGCTGTCGTCGAGGTCGGGCTCGTACAGCTCGATTGAGGCGTTCTCGCCCATCAACTTCCATCAAAGCTTTTCTGGCAGCCTGACGGATCTCATCAGCTCGAAGCCAAGCTGCATCAGCTGTTGGTGACTGCGTCTGCTCAAAGGTGCCAGCATCATTCAGCAACTCCATAGCAATGCTGGGCTGTCGACCGAAGACCCGTTGAGCGGGAGAGAAGCCGCTCCTGTTCGTCATGGTTTGGAGCGCCCATGCCACTTCGTGAACCATGTCTTGTACTTCATGAAGATCAGCTGGTTGTCGAAGTTCACGAGTCTTGTAGTAGACCTCCTTAAACAGTCCACCACGGCGCTCAACTGTTCCATTCTGGTATGGAGAGTCACGGTCGATGACAATGGGCTGGATCCCCAACTCCTCCAAGCCTTCAACAAAAGCACCTTGGAACTCCAGGCCTTGGTCATACAGGAGAAAGCTGGGTGCTCCAAAGGTTCTCACCCATGATCTCAGGAAAGAGGACCAGACCATGGCCGAAGATCTCCTCGTGGCATCCACCATGGTGAAGGTGGAGTACAAGGTTCCAAGGCAAGTGACATTGAGGATTGGGTGCTCATCCGTCGGCTTGCAGCCCATGACAAAGAGCAAATCGACGCCAATGACGACGTTGAAGTCGTAAGTCCTGGGTGTTGCTGCAGGAAGTCGAGATGGCTGTCGTCTTTCCTTGAGACAACCTTCACAGACAAACTCCTTCATGACATAGTCGATGATGTCGGGTCGTGTGCCTGCAGCACGAAGGAGACGAACAAATTCTTTCATCTGTGGATGTCCCAGGTTGACATGTGCTCTTAGCACCATAGACTTCTCCTGAGTGGAGATAGAGGCATTCTTTCCCTCTTCTGTGGCAAGGACCTGGTTGATGGCCGGGAAATAGTAGAGTACCACCACGAAGGGGTACTTGACCTCGAAGCGCGGTGTCGCTCCTTGTTGTCCTCGTTCAAGTTGAATCCATCGGCCATCCAGGACTCCTTTTGCCCAAGTCCATCGCAAAATGCGATGCGCCGGTCCAGAACGTGGGATGCTGTCCGGCTTCCGGAGAATCAGCACTGCGCTGTCGTGAAACTTGTGCCAGTGAAACATTTCCTTGTGGTGCATAGAGTCGCACCACTGCTCAAAATCGCCTCGGGTCGGCAGGTGATCTGGTAGTCCACGTTGTCGTTGAGCCCAGTCCAGGATGAGGCCGTCGATGATGGCGTCAACCAACTTTGGAGGATACTCCTGGGCAGCTTGAGGCAAACCACCAATGAGAGGTTCATGTCCTTCAAGACACTTGCATTGCTTTTGCAAGTTCACAGCGATGGAGTCGCAGGTGGTTGCAAACAAGGTGGACTTCCGGTTAAACTTCTGCCTCACTCGAAGACCAAATCGGCAGAGGTGGGCCTTGACCAGGATCACTTCATCATGCTGCAGGAACTGTTGAACTCGTGGTAATGACCAGGACGTTGA